ATTTCATTATTAATACTAGACTTTGTTTTCTTAAGCTGCCCTTTGACACTTTCTGTTGAGTTCATTGACTAGTTTAAGAGCAAGTGTCAGATACCCTTCTAATGTCTATTTGGTCTTTTCTTTCTTTCCTTTCCCGTTAATGACCTTTTGCTTTCTTCCTGTATGATGATCTTGATTGATGTCACACTACTGCTCTTTGGTATTTGGTTATTAATGTAGAATGCATCAAATCTATTCTTAAAATGAGCTTTAAATTCAGGTGGGATATATTCAAGGTCATATTTTGGCTCTCATGGGCTTGTTTTAATTTTCTTCAGCTTCAACTTAAACTTGGATATGCAATTGATGGTGTGCTCCATAGTTTGCTCCTGGTCTTGTTTGTCTGACAATATTGAGCTTTCTCACTGTCTCTTTCCACATTTGTATTCAATTTGATTCCTGTGTATTTCATCAGGTGAGCTCCATGTGCACCTTTTATGTTGTTTAAAAAAGATATTTTCAATAATATGCTGTTGGTCTTGCAAAATTGTATCATGCAATCTCCAGCATCTTCTTTATCACCAAGACTATATTTTCCGGCTACTGACCCTTCCTCTTTGTTTTCAACCTTTGCATTCTAATCATCTGGTCATATTTTGGTAATACCTGTTAACTATCATTATATCCTGATTGCATGTTTGGTCAATTTCAAACTGCAGAAACTGGTAGAATTCTTCAATTTCATCATCACTTGCTTTAATGGTTGGTGCATAAATTTGAAAAATATTGAGATTAATTGATCTTCCTTATAGCCATGTGAATATTATCTTATCACAAACAGCATTGTACTTCAAGACAGATCTTGAAATGGTCTTTTTGATGATGAATGCTGTGCCATTCCTCTTGAATTTTCATTCCCTGCATACTAAACTACATGATTGTCAGATTCAAAATGTCCAATTTCAGGTCACTAAAGCCTAAGGTATCAATAGAGCTCCCTAATGTGAGCTCACAAACCTAGTAAAGCCCATATTTATTCTTGCTAAATTTTATCCTTTAATTTTTTGTTTTGGCATTTGGGATATAGTTTCTCATTAATCTGAAGAAATAACTGGGCTTGAAGTTTGGGAGGGCAAAAACAAACAGGATTAATTAAAAACACATAATATTCTGGCATATTTCTGTTGAAAGGTTTACATTTTATGGATTAGGTAAAAATAAACAAGTTTCACTATAGAAACATCTGAACATTTTTTAAAGGAAAGAATAATACACGACCACTAAAAACATAGTTCATGAGTTATACATACAGTTTAAAGCTCTGCTACTAGTTCAAAGGTTGGTGATTTGAATCTACCCAGAGGTACCTCAGAGAAAGACTTGGCAATTTCCTTCTGATAGGTCTCAGCCTTAAAAACCCTATAAAGCACCGTTCTTCTGAGACATACACAGTTCACATTAGTAGGAAGCAATTGAGCATTTGTTGTTGTTGCTTTATTAATAATCAGTACAATAATATATTCACCTTGAGATGTAACTATATTGACTCCTGATCTGAGGATGATCAAACTTTATTTCTCTCCTACAGACTGCCTAGCAAAGTAGTCAAATAAAAGTCCAACACCAGGGTGTTTATGGGCAAGTCAAAATGGAATTTAGAACAAGGCAGATTCCTGAGTTACCTTACATTTCAAAATGAAATGTCTTCTACATAAAAATTTCACTAATTTACTATGGTTATTACTTTTTCAACAACTGTTCTTCCTTTTTTATATCTAGCTTCTTCTGCACTTGTTTGTTTGATCCATGAGACTAGGGACCATGCCTCATGTGTGCTTTTGCATAAAGCCTTAGAAGTAGCAATCTTAGTAAGTGTTTGTTTAATGGAAATCCTAGTTTTGCCCAGTCATCACTTGTGAAAACTAGTGCCTTTCTTTTTTCTATCAGGAAAATGATTTATTTATTTGAAAAACATTAATTAAATGAAAGTTGTGAATTTTTAAGAGGAAATTTGTCAAACTTTAGATGTTAACAGCTGTTCCCCGACAAAAAAAGATGAAGCTGTCTGCTGCTGTATAGATATATAGTCTCAGGAACTCTAAGGAGTTCTACTCTGTCCTATAGGGTAACTGTGATTGAGTCGATGGCAGCGGATTTGGGTCGGATGTCAGCGTGGATGGTATAGACAAAACCCAAAGAACACAGTTCTGAGCTTCCCACCTCAATTTTAATAAAGCACAATTTCTTTTGTTTCATTTATTTTACTACATTTTTAAAAGCATAGTATATATTTATAAATTACACAATATCATTCAAAGTTACTGTAATGAATGGTTTGCTCTTGAAATTGATAAGTGCACTTGTAAAATGTCCTAAATCAATAATTGCTCGATTTGAACAGATAATTGGGTTGAAAGCGTTGTTTTCATGGACATTCGATTGGGGTTTACTAATCTGGAATGCCTGTAAATTTACTTGGGGCACAATTGTGTTTTATGTTTATTAAAATTTAATTGTCACTTAGCTCTTCTGTGTGGTGTGTTACTCACCAACTATAATTACAGATATTTTATATTTCATTGCATTTGTGTCAAATGGTTCAAATTAGGCTCTATTTTCAACCACTACACTGAATTTACACTATTATTAGACCCATTTAGATCTTGATATTTAATTCCTTAATAAAGAAGCAATATTTATTACTTTATCAAAAATTTGTTCATAAAATATTTTTGGAAATCATATTTCAGTATGAATACTTTGTGGCACTGTAGGATAAGCATGAAAGCACAAAGTAGATTTGAAACACAAAGTGGCAGTTCAAATCCACCATCCACTCTTCAGAAACCTATACCTGTTCACTTAACAACAACAGAAAGTGTGGTCATTGTTAAGTGACCCTGTTGGAATTGGCTCAAGGCACTTAACAACAACAACACTTTCTGTAGAAGCCAGGATAGTCAGACATTGTCTTTAATACTTCAGACATATTATCAGGAGGGACCAGTTCCTAGAGAAGAGCATGATGCTTGGTAAAGTGGAGGGTCAGTGAGAAAGAGGAAAACCCTCAATGAGATGGATTTGCACAGTGGCACCAGCAATGGACTCAACTGTAGCTATGATTGTGAGGTTGACATAGGACCAGGTAGAGTTTCATTCTGTTGTGCATAAGGTCACTATGAGTTGGTACTGAGGGCACCGGAAAACAACAATAACCAATACTTTCCTTTGTAATGACTATTATTGTTTTTTTTTTAATTTTGTGCTTTTAAATTTTTATTCTGAGTAGGAGCCCATAGGAGTCTTAGTACGGCTCTGTAGGATAAGCACTAGACTACTAACTACAAGGTCGGCTGTTCAAACCCACCAACAGCACACTGGAAACAGTACAGAGTGGATAGGACTTGGAACTGCATCAGTGGTACTTAGCAACAAAAAGACAACCATAGCAGAAGGAACAATTAGAACAATGAAAGGTTAAAGAGTGATTTCATCCTTTTAAAAGGAAATAACTAATTTTATGATGATATAAAATTATTTTGATATATAATATTTGCCACAGTGAATAAAACTTCCATTTGTCATTTCCTGTGATAAACTATTTAGGAGTACTTCATATTTATAGAATTCATGGATATAATGCACTCATTTTGCAGAAGCATCAGTAAAACTTCTTACATTATCATTTACTTAAATTTGCTTAGAGAAAAACAGAGTTAGGTTTTCAGTTTGCTAACCTCCAGCGTCCGTGATTTTCCATTACATACTCAGAAAGCAATGAACCCTGGAGATGCATTGGGTTAAGTGATCAGCTGCTAACAACAAGGTTTGTGTTTCAAATCCTCCATCTGTTCCATGGAATGAAGAGGTGCAGTCCACACCTTAAAAGATTTATAGTCTGGGAAACCTTAGGGAGCAGTTTTACTGTATCTTGTTAGGGTTGATAGGAGCCAGAATCAATTTAGTGGCAATGGGTTTGGTGTGGGTGAGTATTTAGAAAGCAAAACGTATTATAACTTTTTGTTCTCATGTAAAATAGGCATGAATAATAAACAATAAAAAAAAAAAAAGGCTTAATGTTGTAACTGTATACACAAAACTCCTGTTTCCCATTTCTAGGTGATCAGTTAACCGCAACTATCTTATCTTAATTTCTTACCAAACAACATTGTATATTACATAACATTCATTACAGAAAGGTTACCAGGATGATTCTAACACGGAAGCCTCATGACACTCAAAGATAGATTATGTGCTACAGGCTCTTGCGAAGAAGAGCAGAATCAAAGGAAGGCACATTGCTATTCTCTGAAATAAATAATTTCTCTCATTGAGGTTAGGAGAAAAGCAGTTGTCAGGTGATGAACAAAGAAGTGGAACAGAGTGTTCACAGTGGAACAGAGAATGAATGAGGTTATCATTATTTGTTTTTTTACACTGTAGCTGTGTTTGGAAGGTTTGTGTAATTGTAACCCAAATTACACAATTTATAAGCATGCTGGGGTTTGTGGCACATGTATATAATTTTCCTTGTTTGGGAAGATAAGGCACAACAATTCAATTCTAATTGAACTTGTATTTCCATTACATATTTATTTTCTATATCCTCAAATGACATGAATTGCCTCAGTAAGATTTATTAATGATGTGGAAACTGAGCATGCTCAAGTCTCTAGGTAAATCTTGGGTTGTATTTGGGAGGGTTTTAAATAGCTAAGTATTATAGATGGAAAACAAAACAAAATGTTCAGCGTATTTGGCCTCTGGCCTTACTTAGAAACATAGTATGTGAGATCAGCACACGCAGAAAAAAGGAACTGAATTTGAACATAGTTAGGGAAGTTCACAGCTCAGGAAGGATTGGTAAGGAAATGGTGATATACAAAGCTCACTTAAATCAGTAATGCTATTAGGAAACCAGAGCAGAAGCTGAAGTTCTATTCTCTACAGATACGGCTAGAAAGGTGGTTCGAGTAAATAGATCTCTGGTTTTACAGATGAACAGCCCCAAGTTACCCAACATGATAGTCTTCATTTTCTTAGGTAAGTAAACTGTACTTTTAGTATATCTGAATTCATAATAAAGGCAATTATTTAAACCAGACATAATTCCATCTACCTCACTGCTGATTAAGCTGACAAGGATTCAGAATATATAGTATCAGTTGCAAACTTATATGTTAGCATCCTTTGTTACTCTTTAAAAATGGTAAACTTGATTTTACTCATTTATTTCTAATTCTATGGAAAATGCACAATTTGAGAATTTTAATACTCAGGTTGTTTCTGTGTTTTCATATGAAGTGATCCAATTATGTATTAGAATTTATAGAATTCACCTATCTATAGACTAGAGTCTTTTAGAAATAAAATCTTCCAGTTTCTATTTACAAATTAGAAGATGACAAATTATAAATTACTATTTATTTTTCTCATTTAAAATATTTTAAACCATTTGAAGTACAGCAGATAAATGTAAACCATTCAGTTCCCCTAATTTTGAAGCATTAATATTTACTGACCAGAAGCTGTTTGGTACAACAAAACAATGTTACATCAGATGTTCCACATTTCAGAAGTGGAAATTATTTATTCCTCTTAAACTAAGTTCTATGAATGTATTGTAAAATATTGGTGGAAAAAATAGAATTTGCTTGCATTTAAAATAGATTATATAGAGCGATACTTTGCTAGATATGTTATTGGAGACACTTTGATATCTTAAGCATTATGTAGAATCTAAATATTGAATGCAGGAAAGGGGATATTGATGATGGTAGTTGACTGTTAATAATGCACTAATAAAAAATAAGGGTAACATATTTCCTGGTTATTCTAAAATTGTAGATATATATAAAAAAGCATAATTGTGAGCAAGAAAACAAAGGTTATGCTAAGTCACGTAAATATAAAAGACAAGTAAACATAAATCAAACCAAAGAAAATCAAGTCAAGAAGAAAAGGAATCTTTTATATACTTTCAGTTTTTCTTTAGTTTAAATAATAGTTCTTCAGTGCTCCAAAAATGTGTTCCTCATATGTATTTCTAATAATTTATTTCCTTATGTATTTTATTATAAAGATAAATCTAGCAAGCTTTAATTTTTACAGATTAGGTAGCAATATGACAGAATACAACAAACACATCACATAAGACATTGCCAAGTTAAATAAATGAAGCTGTCACTGAATACATGGAAAACCAAAAAACTGATATGTCAATTTCCACTCAACAAAAAAATGAGATGCCACATTCGTCATCATGTCATTGACATGCAGAGTCAATGACAAGTAGTACACATGGTCCAATAAGAGAAGAGAAGTTTCTTCTCTTATTGGACCATGTGTACTACTTGGTGGTAAGGAATAAGAAAAGATTTCAAAATTTTACTTGAAGTCTTTGTCATCAAAAGTGATTCATAATATTCTCATTTCCCCCAAAATTTAATACATTTGATTCTGATCAGAACATAATTAGAAATTTCTTTTATAAAGAATATAGGTAATCTACACTGTCTCAGTAACTCATGGTGATTTCCATGTTTTTCTATGGATTGATTAAACTAGTGCCATTTTGTATACTTTCAGAGTCAATTTGAGTGTGACACAGTCAATTACCATTGCAATTTGTCTAGTTATTTCTGGAACATTTTACCTTTCATTTAAGATAACTTATAAATATCTGGAAGATGTTATTTTCATTAAACATGATCAGTTACTTATCTCCTGGCATTGTGCAATAGGATAAGTACTGAACTGCTAACCACAAGGTTGGTGGTTCAAACCCACCAACCTCTTCTCAGAAACTCTACACAGGCTCCCTATGAGTCAGAAGGCATTTAACAATAACAACATCTATAGATAATCAAAAACACACTATTAAGTTTAATGCATGTTGACCCATACTATTTAATATCCATAATACACCATTGTGTTTGGAATATAATTATGAATAACATCATGCCTGCCCAGTAAAACCTTATAACCCAGTGATAGATACATAAGCAGATAAACATACATTATATATATATATATATATCATATACATATATGATATATATATATATATATATATCAGAGGAAAACGAAAGTGAGGCCCAACTAGATAGCAGAGTAAATGCGTGGCTTAGTGTAAGATAATATGGGACATTTGGAAAAGTAGAAATACCTAAGATCTTCTAGACTGCACTTGTTGAGGAATATGAGAATGTTGTTCTGAAGACTGAATCAAAGGATACAGGCAGAATCAAAAGATGTGGTGGAGAATGTCATATTAAGTTTATCAGGGGATATTAAAACCCTATTTGAATAATACAAAACCAGAGGCAAACTGACTGAGTTAATCAAATATCCCCAATGGGACTCCATGAACTGCATAAGAATGGATATGAGAGAGTGAAGTTAAGAATGAAAAGGAAGTTTATCATGAACTTCCGGTTTTTAGTTTGCATGCCAAGGTGAATGATGGAATTGCTGATGAATTTGCATAGTTCATCAGAGGGTGATGATGATGAGGAGGACAATGCTTAAACAATTTATAGTAGTGTGTATGGAACATTCAAGTGGTCATAGTGGCTATGCTCATGATTGGAGTACTAGAAAAATACTGAAATTGAGTTCTACATTTAAGAACCATCAGACTATGGTGGCGATGGTGTGTGCAATGGTGTTAGTTCCAACTCATAACGACCCTACCTAGGGTTTCTGAGGCTGTAAATCTTTACCGAAGAAAATCTCATCTTTCTCCTGCTGGTAATTTCGAACTGATGACCTTGAGGTTAGCGGCCCGACTTGTAACCACTATGCTATAGATGGTAGTTAAACTCTTCAGAATGCATAGAAATATTCACAAAGAATGTGTAAAATAAGAATGAGAATAACATATGGACAAAATCTAAGCTAAAAATATACTTTAAAGGAAGAGAAAGCAGATCCATTCAATAAAAACTTTGAATATTGTCCTCATCATAGGATTTGAAATGGTGCAAATGGTTAAGGGTTCTGCTATTAGCTGAATGGCTGGGGATTCAGAGGCTTCTTAGAAGAATGGCCTAATGGTCTACTTCCAAAAGATTACAGCTACTGAAGACCCTGTGGACTGTAGTTCTGCTCTGAAACATATAAGGCAGAATTGACTCAAAGGCAACTGGGTTGGTTGTTTTGGTTTGGGGTAAACAGTAGATAAATATTAAGAGAAACAAAAATAAAGGTTGCATAAGGAGGAATTTCAAAGACAAAATGTCAGTAAAATTCCCAATGGTGACATAAAACCTTAAAACTATTAAAATTGATGCTACAGAGGTCATGAGGGACATTTTTGAGAGCAGTTTCAATGGAACTCTGGTGATAAACATATATGATAAATAGAGGAATGAATGAGCAGTGACTAGAGAGAGCAAATGTGGACTAGTCACTTAAGAATCAGAGGCAACAGAAAAATAAATTTATACCTAGAGGAGATGTCATGATTCAGTCTCATGTTCTAATTATTTTTGTTACACTTTATTTTTCACAGTTCTTTCATTTGTCATTCATAACTTAGATTTAAGGCACACAGTTGCCAAACTGTCATATTGAACATGTTGTTGTTATTGTTTTTGCAAGCTATGGTGCTATGCTTGGAAAATGAATCCAATTCTCAAACCACAGATTGCATGCATTTAAGAGAGCAGTGCCTAAGTGATACAGATGGATGTAAACATGAATGGAAAACAATAGAAGATGCCTGCAATGTTTCAGGTAAAACAAAGAGCTTAAAAAAAACACACAATGATTTTTTAAAAATAGATAAAACTGGAATTTGATAATTTATATATCATTGAGGAATTAAATACTAACTTGATGTTCACTGTATTCACCTTAAAATGCATATTAGTGAATTTAATTCAAAAAGGACATTTTTAATCATTTGAGCCTTCTGCGGTATTGACATTGATAACTTTACAAAAGGTTTGGATTATGTTCTTATGCATTTCACCTTTACAATGCTACAGTTATATACATAGTCTCAGAAACATGGCAATACATAGTTTTTCTTAAAGGTGAGTATGTCAATGATAAAAACATTTATCATGTTCAAAGGCATTGTTTATTTACTTGTATACAAAATAAGTTTTATACTCTTACAACATGCACACTATTTTTCCTTTTAAAAACAAGAACAAGTTCAAATATATCTTTGTGTTTATTGTATTTTCCATCGGAAGGATTTGAAGGGAGGTTCAAGGAGTGGATAATGTAAATATTACACACTATAATATTTTAGAAAGAGAAAAGAACATTTTGAGGACATCCTGAGGACAGCAAGTAGCTGAATAAAAACCAAATGACAACAGTATCATACAACTTCATTTACTAGGAAAAGATATGATAAATTGGCTGTTTTTGTTGGATGCTATAATGTGATTTCAACTCATGTAACAGAGAAGAACTGCTCTATAGGGTGGTTATTTTTTTGTTTTTGTTTGTTTTTTGGCTACAATATTTACAAAAGATGTTTGCCAGGTCTTATTCCTATGGAGCCACTGGGTGGGTTTGAACTGCCAACATTTTTTTAGCAGTCAAGCACTTAATTATTGTACCACCAGGGCACCTTTGATAACATTGATTACATAAATGTTATATTGGATTCCTGGTATGGTATTCAGGGTAAGCACTGGACTGATAACCACTAGGTCAGCTGTTTAAGCTCACCAGCCACTCACTGGAAACCATTTACAGGGTCAGTGTGAGTGGGTACCAACTCATGAGCACGTAATAACAACAACAAATAATATATTGCCCTAATATGATTATTTCAAACACTCATTAGATGATAGACTGTATCACCATAAGATATGCACTAGACTGCTAACTTCAAGGTCAGCAGTTCAGATCAATCCATCACCCCTTGAAACCATATACAGAGTCACTGTGAGTCAGAACTGACTTGAAGGCATATAACAACAACATTCTTCATAAAATAATTTAAATCAATTTGTGTTATGAAAAGTATGATGTTATGAAAACCTGGAGTATGTAGTATGTGGATTCTAAAAGGGAAAACGAAGACACATTCTTCCTTAGCTCACTGCTTCTTCATTTACTGAAGAATAGATAGGGCACTGCTCATGACTCTTGTCTATCTACCTGTGCTCATTTCATCACTCATAAGGAGTAGGGTAGCATGGTAGAAACAACGCCTACCATTCTAGAGATGCCCATGTTCATAGTCTCCACCAGCAGAGCTCCTGCTCAACAACCTGACCTCAAGGGATTAGGTAGGGTTTGAAGAGAAGCAAAGACATTCTGTTGGCACCATGACTGCTAACCAAAGGTCAGCATTTCCAATCTGGAAGATTTAGCAATCTGCTTAAGTAAAACTTTACAGCTTTGAAAACCCCATGAGGTAGCTTGACTCAGTCCTATAGGTTCACTGAGGAGTCCTGGTGTAGTGCTGTGGGTCAATGCACTGGACTGCAAAATCAGTTTGAACCACATGGTCAGTGGTTCAAGCTCACCAATCACTCCTCAGAAACAAGGTCACTATGGATTGGAACTGACTCAACGGCACTTAACAACAACAACATAGGGTCACTCAGTTGAAATCTAACCAATAGAAATGGAAGCTTTGTGATGGAGGGAGACAGAGAGGGCTCATTGTAGACTCTGCCTTTGAGGGAGTACATGCAATGTTCTTACTCCAAAAATTTTAATGACTGTATAATCTAACATTCATACTACTGTTCAGGAAAAAGTTTCACAGGAATAATTTGTTCAAATAACATAATAATTTTAAGATGAGACAGAAGAAAATGATTTGAAAAAATGTTATGTGCTTTGGTGCTGAAGTTCTTTCCTGCATTTTGTGAGGCAAATTTAAAATGAGTTTTTAAAATATCACATTCAATGTTACATAAATGATAAACTATTTATATATTTCAGTACACAAAGAGCAAATTATTTGCAGTAAATTGCACTAAATATTTGCATAATTGCCTCATGCATGAAGCTAAAAGTGTAATGTGCTCAAATGCACAAATTAAAGAAATTCAAGCACTTTTCTTAGCAAAATGAATAAAAGAAAAAATGTTCAGGTATACAAATATGACTCGCTAATGTAAAGCAAAAATGAAATATGCATGATTATAAATTACTCATTCATTTATTCAATAAATATTTATTGAGCACTTCCTAAAATCAGGACTGCTTTATTTCTTATAAATTTAGAGCCACCTGCACATATCCTATTAAATCTTAGAAATGCATGCAAAATAAAATACAGATAAAGAAAAAATATTTAATAAAATAACCAAGCTGACAAAATAGTTAAACTTACTAGATTATTCTATTCACCTAGTATTAGGAATCCTGGTGTGCTGCTGTAGGATAAGCACTGGACTACTAACTGCACAATTGGCAGTTCAAACCCATCAACTGCTCTTCAGAAACCTTATACAGGGTTGTATTGAGTCGGAACCCACTCCACGACACTTAGCAAAAACAAAAACAGGTAACAGTATAGCAGCTCTGGCTATTACTGAAGAGCAACAAATTAGGCTTTCTAAATGGGATAAAAAGCTATTTTAAATGTAGAAAGTGTCTATCCATTTTAGAAAGCACAAGAATGAAAAAAAATCACAATAGAAATAGATGCCATACTTACAAACTCAGTTAGATGGACACCTGCTACTCCAGATAATCTTCCTATACTAATGAGTTACTTAGTAATTTATTAACGTTAAAAGCCTTTGGGGAGGGTGACTCAAAACTATATTAGGGCTTGGTATCTGAAGTATTATGTGTTTGACTGTGAAATCCAGGTAATCCTTGCAAGATGAAGGATCCATTGATCTGTAAGCTGGGCATCCAGTCTTTAGTGAAAAGCAATTTTCTATTTGAAGAATGTCTCTGCACTGATGGCCTTTATTGTACTGCTATCAAATTGCTTGGGAAACAATGCGTCATTACATCAGGTAACACTTTGCTATATAGAATATTTACAGTCCAGAGAAGAAAAGCACAATTTCAAAATTAGCCACACTTATGGAATTGACTAAACGGTAACAGATGTAATGGATTCACTCTTATGTGACAGGATTTTGTGAGCTATAACCTCAGTAAATGCATAACATATTCTGTAATTACTTAGTTCAATTTCAAGTTTCATTAGAAGTATAGATTCACTCAATCAACACATATGATTGTGGCTTTACACTAGATCCAGATGATAAACAACAGGGAAAGCTTCATCTCTTTTGTTAGGAGATCAGAATCAAACCCAGCAGTCATTCCTTGGAAATTCAGGGTTGCTATGAGTCAGAACCAACTTGACAGTACTTAACTACAATGGCCCAAGGTACCAGAAGCCCTGGTGGCACTGTAAGGTAAGTACTGAACTACTAACTGCAATATTGCAGTTCAAACTCACAAGGAGTTCCAAGAGAAAAATGAGGCTTTCTGCTTGCATAAAGATTTACTGCCTTGGAAACCATAGGCAGGGTTACTACGAATCAGAATCGACTTGATAGCACTGGACTTGTGGGGTTTTTTGGTATTTGTTCTTTGATAACCCAAGGTACCAGGATAACCCTACAGTAGTGGTCATCAAACAGATCTTGATGTACACTTGAGGGTACACAAAGACTTCCCAAGGGATATGTGAGAACAAATAATTGTTAAGCAATCAGTTTTCTGATTCTGAATGTCATCATATACTTTTTCTAATCAGCTTGGGAATGTGCTTGCTGTTATACAGTTCTTGCATCTTATTGTATAAGCAAACTTCTCTCACTTTATAAGAGAAAAGTTTACCTCTCACCTACCTTGAAGTGTCCCACAGCAATGCAACTGCTCCAATAATCCAAGATAGACTCATTGAATAATTTTATTTTTTTTAACTTGCCTTTTCTTAAATTTTATATGAATGGAAATATAGTATTGCTTTTTGGGTTTGACCTCTGATCGATTTTATTTAGCATAATGTATTTTAGGCTCAGATAAGTTTGGGTCAACTCTTTTTGGAATGGGCACAAATATTGATCTCTTCCAATCAGTTGGCCAGATAGTTGTCTTCCAAATTTCTTGGCAGAGATGAGTGAGTGCCTCTTTTGCCACCTCACTTTCTTGAAAGATTTCAATTTTTATTCCATCAATTCCTGGTACCTTGTTCTTTGCTAATTCATTCAATGAACCTTGGGCTTCGTCCTTCAGTATTATTGACTCTTGATCATATGCTACCTCTTGAAATGGTTGAACACAAACCATTTCCTTTTGGTACAGTGACTCTGTATGTTTCTTCCATCTTCTTTTCGAGCTGATCCCTGAAATTTTCTGTTCAGTTCTTGGACCTCCTCATTTCTTCCATTTGCTTTAGCATCTCTACACTGGAGAGCAAGTTTCAATGTCTCTTCTGACATCCATTTTGACCTTTTCCTTCTTTCGTGTCTTCTCAATGACTTTTTGCTTTCTTCATGTAAGATGTTCTTGATGTCATCCCACAACTCTTCTGGTCTTCGGTCTTTAGTTGTTTAATGTATCACATCTGTTCTTCAGATTATCTCTAAATTCAGGTGGGATATATTCAAGGTCATATTTTGGCTCTCATGGACTTGTTTTCATTTTCTTCAGCTTCAGTTTGAATTTGCAAATGAATCATTGATGGTTTGTTCCATAGTCTGCCCCTGGCCTTGTTTTGACTGATGATATGGAGCTTTTCCACCATCTCTTTCTGCAGATGTAGTCAATTTGATTTCTATATATTTCATCTGGTGAGGTCCATGTGTATAGTCGTCTCTTATGCTGTCTAAAGAAGGTATTTGAAATGAACAAATCATTAGTTTTAAAGAATTCTATCATGCATTCTCTACCATTATTTCTATCACCAAGGCCATATTTCCCAACTATTGATCCTTCCTCTTTGCTACAAACCTTTGTATTCCAACCACCAGTAATGATCAATACATCTTGATTGAATGTTTGATCAATTTCAGATTGAAGAAGTTGGTAGAATTGTTCTATTTCATCCTCACTGGCTTTAGTGGTTGGTGTGTAAATTTGAATAATTAGTGGTAGTAACTGGGCTTCCCTGTAGGTGCATGGATATTATTCTATCACAGACAGCATTGTATCACATGACTGGTCTGGATATGTTCTTTTTGACAATGAAAGCAACACCATTCCTCTTCAATTTGTCATTCCTGCCATAGTAAACCATGTGGTCATCAGATTCAAAGTGGCCAATACCAGTCCATTTCAGTTCACTAATGCCTAATATATCGATGTTTATGTGTTCCATTTCATTTTTGACAACTTCCAATTTTCCCAGGTTCGTACGTCATACAGTCCATGTTCTGAATTTCAATGGATGTTCACAGCTATTTCTCTTCATTTTGAGTTGTGCCCCATCAGCAAATGAAGGTCCTGTGGGCTTTTTTCCCACAAGCTTTACTCCATTCGCTTTATCATGGACAACTCTACTTTGAGGAGGCAGCTCTTCCCCAGTCTCATTTTCAATGCCTTGCAACCTGAAGGGCTCATTTTCTGGCACTATATCTGACAGTATTTCTCTGCTATTCAAAAGGTTTTCAGTGACTAAATATTCAGAAATAGTTCATCACTCTTTCTTCCTAGTCTGTCTTTGTCTGGAAGTTCATCTGAAACCTGTTCACCATGGGTGACCCTGCTGGTATTTAAAATACTGGTGGCATAGCTTTCAGAATCAGAGCAACTCACAAGTCACCACAGTACCACAAACTGACAGATGAGTGGTGGCCATTTGTTTTTTTTTTAACAAAACAGCATCTTTATTTTATAAATGTGAGGGGAGTTAAAAAAGTTTGTGGAAAATGGAATTAAAAGACAAAAATGTAATCATGTCAATGACATCTTTTACACATTACTAACTGAAGAAAAATGAGTGCCCTTGTAAAGAATAATGAGCGAACAGAAAGAAGTGAGGTGGAGTCAAATCAGGACCGCAAGGTGGATGGATGCCTAATGACTTCCCATGGAAACTCTTGCAACGCAACACTGTCCTTGTTTGATGAGAGGAATGAACAGGAGTATTGGTGAGGTGAAGGCCTCTTTGATAAAGTCTTCCCAGATGGTTTTCTGCAAAATTCTGGCTAACTTTCTCAACATATTTTCATAATAAGCAAATGTTATTAATCTTTGACCCTCCAGAAAGTCAATGAGCAAAATGCTTTAAGCATTTAAAAAAAAAACAAAAAACCATTGCCATGACCATTGCTCTTGCCCAACCTGTTTTTACATTTACTAGACCACTTCTATCTTTTGAAGACATGCTTTGACTGTGCTTTGTCTTCAGGATCATACCGTTTCATCTCCTGTTACCATTTTTCAAAAAAATGCTGCAGGATATGGAACCCACTTGTATAAAATTTCAGCTGAAAATTGCTTGTCTGCAGTTGATCTGGGTGCAACATTTTTGGAACTATGAAGTAGAATTCCTTAACTTTTTCAGCCATACTTCTGGTAAGCGGATCCAATTGAGATACATATGGTATTGGCTACTGTTTCTGGTGGTAATCACTGGTCGTTTTCAGTGAGGACACACACATTTTTTTCCTCACAAATTGATGTGGATGGGCTGTCACCATGAGCTTCATCTTTAACATTATCTTTAACATTGTCTCCCTTCTTAAAAGAAGTTACCCACTTGTAGACTGCCGATTTCTTTGGGGCACTGTCCCCATATACTTTTTGTAAAGCATCAATGATGTCACCATTCTTCCACCCAAGCTTCACCATAAATTTGATGTTTGTTCTTGCTTCTATTTTTGCAGAATTCATGTTGCTCTGACAGGGGCTCTTTTCAACCTGATGTCTTATACTTCTTAATGCCTCACACGAGATCCTAAATAAAGGATTAAAAGTGGCAACTCCTGTCCAAAAGGCAAGCAAGGCTCCTCTTCTCTCCTTAATCTGAGGTGTTTGGAATTCTGCAAAAGAAAGTAGAAAATAAGTCTAACTCATCTGGATCTGGGTTTTTGTCTCTTTGGAAAATACAACATTGGTGAGAGAAGTAGAGAAGGAAGCCTACATTACAGTGCCCAACGGCTGGTCTTCCCCTAATAACTAAAACCGACACCAAAGAACACTTACGTATTCCGCCTGAAGCGCGCGGAACTTTGGCCATTTGGTTTTAAGTGGAAAAAGTCACTTTCAGTTTCGAGATGTGTATGTGTAGTAGAACCCTCCAGGGGTAGGGGTGGAGTGTCCACTCACTCAGGCATCCCCTCTAGTCACCAGAATGGAGGTGCGCAGACAGCAAGAGACCAATGAACAGATACCCCCAAAAAATGTCCACACCTGTATCTCTGCAGTTGTCAGGTGTTTGTGGCTGTTTTGATCCTTATCCCACTTGGTCTTTCCCAAGATGTCGGTTCCAGGAACAGCTGAGTGTCTTGAATTAGAAAGCAATGGATTTCTTGATTCTGCTACAAATTCCCCTAGCTGTAAGCCTTCTAAACTTCTAAATATTTCTTTATATGTGGTTCAGCATTCTGAGCCTGCTTGGTCTGGTATTTTGTGTTGTTGCTGATGGAGCTCCTCACTGCACATCTACCCGATCCTCCATATCACTATTTATGTGTTCCATTTTATTTTTGACAATTTTCAATTTTCTTAGATGTATGCTTTATCATTCCATGCTCTGATTATTAATGGATGTTTGTAGCTGTTTCTCCTCATTTTGAGGAGATACTGAAGATACTGAACGATTTGCTCCATTCATGTCATTATGGTCAACTCTACTTTGAGGAAGCAGCTCTTTCCCTGTCATATTTTGAGTGCCTTTCAAGTTGTACTTCATACAGCCAGAGGGGCTCATCTTTCTGACACCATATCTGGCAATATTCCTTTGCTATTCATAAGATTTCAGTACCAACCATTCGGAATTAGTGTGCCTCTCCTTCTTCTGAGTCTGTTTTAGTCTGGAAGCTCACCTGAAACC